CATCAAAAATATCTCTAACTAGGATTGGTAATGAATGATTGTTAAAATGTTAGTCTTTTTTTTTTTTTGTCGGCAAAATGTTAGTCTTTTAATTTTGTAACAATACAACATAAAAAAAAAACTTAATTTAAGCATATATAAAAAAAAAATTATTCAACAAATAAATCTCACCTCCGATGTTGTATCATTATCATAATCATTTTCAGACATACTCCATAATGCATGGTATACCCAAGATGATAATTTTGGAAATCCAATTGAATATAGCCATATAGGATTAATACCCCAAATAAAGACACACATATCTACTAAACTCCCAAGTTGTCAACTAACTACAACGCCATCATCATCAAAATTATTTCTAACTAGCTAAAAGTTAAAATTTTAAGGATCGTTCATTACCGATGAAATTGAAAACCTTTCATTAGCTGAATCTGAATCTGCAAAGAAAAAACATTGTTGTGAACTTTAACTCATTAGGAACGAAATTTGTATATATGCAAGGAAAATAACATTACTGTTAGCTCTTAATAGCGCTTTTGTAGTATTCAAGAACAATGTTTTTCTACTTACCTGTAAAATTAACCTCCGACTGATCTCCTCGCTCACGCTCATGTGTATGTTTGTCGCGAGAAGAGTATATTGTACTCTCAAAATTTTGCTCGGGACCATATGTTCCAAGCCCACGCTGCAGCTCCAAAGCTTTGAGAAAAGGAAGCATGAAATCCATCTAAATATAGAGCAAGCCAAAACATAGTGTCCTTTTAATTTAATTATAACAATGCATAAAATTCATACAAAAGAAAACATTGTTTAACTAATTTAAATTCACCTCCAACCCAAGAATACTATCAGTAATTCATTATCAATCTGACTCAACAGATTAAAAAATTTGGTTCCCTTGAGCATATTGTGGTTTGCCCCAAAAAAAAAAGAAAAGAAAAGAGCATATTGTGTATCTTCAACATGAAAATATGTATAAACACTTAAGAAATCAAGTCATAAACCCATTAAAATCGAAATCCAAGGATTAAAACTTAAATCTAAACCAAGAGAAGATGTATCTTCATATGGATATATGAGAAAGAAAGAAAAAAAAAAGAGGACCTTCTCACAAGACGATCTTTCTCCGATTTGCCGAGAAAGAAGATGGTCGCCGCTGTGCAGAGCTTGGTTCTACCTTTTTTTGTGTGATACAAATTGATTGATGCTTTTCGATTACTTATACTATATAATTTACAAATGTCAAATGCTACTACAAACGTGTTGACGAATGAGAAGAAAAGCATTGATGACTTTTATATAGCATTATTTTTATTTTTAATTCAGCATCGTTTCTTTCCAGTTTTAGCATCGTTTAATGTAGCATTATTTTTAATTTTTAATTCAGCATCGTTTATTTCCAGTTTTAGCATCGTTTAATGTAACATCATTATGTTTTTAATTCAGCATCGCTTATTTTTAGTTTTAGCATTGTTTAATGTAACATCATTATATTTTTAATTCAGCATCGTTTATTTCCAGTTTTAGCATCGTTTAATGTAGCATTATTTTTATTTTTAATTCAGCATCGTTTATTTTTAGTTTTAGCATCGTTTAATGTAGCATCATTTTATTTTTAATTAATTCACCATCGTTTTATTTCTAGTTTTAGCATTGCATCAGTGAAAGTGATGTCAAATATCTAATTAGTATCACAAAATAGAAACGACGTTAAATATAATGTTAACTTTAAATTTTAGAAATGACATTAAAATTTAACATTTGCATCGCTTTCAAACCAATTTAAGATATTAACATCGATTATTTGATTTGTAATCTTAAAAGTCGATGTTATTTGGTTATATTCGATGTAGAACACCACTTGCATCAATTTGTAGGCTTTCGGTTCTTTTGGTTTACGGCTTTTTTGGTTTTACGAAACTGGTACCATATAAAAACTACTGTATTTGCATTTATGTTTGGTTACAATTCGGTTTTTACGGTTTATGGTTTTTTTTTTTGTTTTTTAAAAATGAAAACATATAAAAATCATATATTATGATTCGGTTTCGGTTTTTTACAGTTGATACATAAATTAAAAATAACCATAAAACTTATACATCTTCAAAAATCAGATATTTATGTTTATAGTATTTTTGGAAAAAAAATGTGGTATTTTTGAAAAAAAAACTGAAAATATGCTATCCAAGAGAATTTCTCTTTTATAATTTTATATTGTTTGAAAAATGATTTTATTTATGTTAACAACCAGAAAATAAAATTGCATATAACTCAAAGTCAATGTTTTCATTTTAAATTCTCAATATTTTTTTTTACATTGTCCATCATTCGTTATTTTAAAAATTACTTACATATTTAAAATTTTGAATATTTAGATGTCAAACCTTATTTCAACTTTATCATCATATAACCTTAACATGCCATCTTTTATAAGGCTCATAGCTCTTTATAATCTTAACTTTTTAAAATTAATGACAGTCTTATTTTTCTGGAACGAAACATATATTACATTACATTAAACTCAGATACTTTAGATATATCCTAACAATCTAACATACGATACACTCACGCATGTATAATATATGTTATGGTGAATTACCAAAAAAAAAAATCAACACTTAGGGTGAATTACCAAAAAAAAAAAACATATATTTATACATCACGCATTAATCAACACTTAGGGTGAATTACCAAAATAAAAAATCAACACTTAGGGTTAAAACTCAAATCTAAATAAAGAGCCGATGTATCTTCATATTCGTTGACCCAGAAAAAAGAAAAAAAAAATCAATTAGTCATAACCTTCTCACGAGACGAATTTTCTCCAATTGGCCTTTTTTGTTGACCGATATTATTTAAATAGTATTTTGTTGACGAAAAAGAAGAAAACCAATGACCTCTAATTTATATAGCATCATTTTATTTATTTTAAATTTAGCATCGTTTATTTAATTTTGAAGACAAAAGAAGAAAAAAAAAATCAGCATCGTTTATCATCATTTAGTTTTAGCATCATTTTTATTAAACGTTAAAATATTAGTTCTAGCATTCCTTAGTAAATGATGTCATATATCAAATTAGTGTCACTAAATAGAAACGACGTTAAATATAACGTTAACGTTACTTCTTAGAAATGACATTAAATTTAAAATTTGCATTGCTTTCAAACCAATTAAAAATATTGACATCGTTTTATTTTTATTTTTTTTAAAATGATACTAAAATAGATATGTGATGTTTTCATATCAAAGCAATTTTGCATTTTGATATGAATTTTTTTTTGCATCAGTTAGAACACTACTTGCATCAATTGTTGGGAAACATTTTGCACCACTCATTCTTTTTTTCCCGACCATTTTTCATTTTCAATAAAATGAAAGCCCAATGGGCATTATAGATGATGAAATAGAAGCCATTCCTCCCCTCCCCTAAGACTACTTATTGAGAGGTCCTAATATTTGTTCAGAGTCCACCAATAATGATGGTCTAAGGTTTATGTTTTAATCAATTTTGAAACTACACACGTACGTGCGAGTCTAAATATTTTACCTATTTCTCTGTCTGTTATACTAAAATATACAATAACAAATGAGTAAGTTATAATTAAAACCACAGTTATGAGATGGAAAAACATGACATATGTGAGACATGACGGGATGAATTTTCTATAATGAAATAGACGAACCACATTTCTCTTACTATTTTTTTTTATATGTAGTTGTCTTTACTAATAGCAAAAACAAATCCGATAATTATTTTTATTTAAACCAAATTTTAAAAATAAAAAAAATACTAAAATAATTAGAGATGTCAAACGGGCCTCTAACCCGCGGGCATGCCCGTTTGGTCGCGGGCATGCCCGTTTGACACCTCTAAAAATAATACAACTTTGGATTATGAATTTTAATAATATTCCTAAAAATTATGTTTACAAACATGACTCCGCACATATGAAATATATTATAAACTTAGTTTTTAAAATTAATCCCGCACGTACGTGCGGGTCCGAATCTAGTATAGTTTACAATGGCTTATAAATTAAATGCGTTAATAAAAAGAGAATTTTTGAGAAATACCCCTTTTGGTGTACCCCTTTTTAAAAATACCCCCTTTATCTATCCATTTTCAAAAATACCCCTTTTTAAATATAATAAATTATAAAGTTTTATATAGTTTATAAGGTACTTCTATATAATAACTACTACTGGGAGATTCGATACAAATATTTTAAAATGTTTTAAATAGTTTTAAATCGTTTTA